GTAATTTATGACAGTATGTTTGCACTGAAGCACCGCAGCAATTTCCTAATGTTGTAAACCTGCTCAACATTTGGCAATAAAACCCTTTCTGATTCTGAATCCTACATATATATATATCGTTAGCTTCATAGCATAAGTGCCTAAGTCATTTTTTGGTCAAATTGAGATTTTTGCCTAACTTTACTCCCCTACCACTGCTGCATCAGTTTTTTCTTGTTTTCCGAAAACACAAAAAAATGACTTAGGCACTTATGCTATGAAGCTAACGATATATAGGATTCGAGGTTGTCCACACTTCATACCAGTTGGTGGCAGTAATGCACCGTTTCGGAGGGTGTAAAATACCGCCAACAAAAATAACAAGAAGAAGAAGCTCGACAGTTGCTACAGCTGTTGTGTCGACCTTGGTTCGTTCAGAATGGCAGGGAAGGCGTGGAGGTCAGCGGTATGTGCGTTGAAACTTATGGAAATGTGTCATAGTTGCACTAGATCAATTTTGTTTCAGTTCATCAGCGAACACTTATTGTCTGTCCCGCTGACAGCATACCAGAGGCAGAACATCCACTGCTAACTACTTAGCTGACCGCTAACGCACAGGCTATATGCCCGTAGTTGCTATAGCAACCCGACACGTTTAGCTAGCAGCTATTTAGCCAAGTGTATGTTTAGTCTCGTGTAATGCAATGTAGAAGCAATTTATGGCTTCGTTGCTCTAGTTGAACATGTTTTTATTAAGGTTGCGTTATGGAAACACATGTCTATCATCTACAGATTCTTAATCTACTAACAAAGTTGGGTTTATCGATCAATGGCAAGGATAAACTCAAACCACAGGAAGTAAGTTAAGTGTACCTAACTTTAAATACTGTATATCCTTGCTGCACTGGAAAAAGAGCTCGCAGGCAGTTACTCTCGCTTCTGATGTGACCACATCTGGAATAGAGACTCTGTTTTGTAATCTTTTCAAAGTCAGGGTTGCCTTCGGCTGTTTGTCTGTCTGCCTGTCTTCCTGTCTCTCTGCCTGCTCACATAGGAGCTTCATGGAGTTGCATTGTTTTACATATTTAGATTACACTGACAATGTAATCATTTGCAAAACCAATACAAACTTGCCAAACAGCTATACCAGTCAAAAATGTTTTACTGTTAAACACAGCAGTGCACAAATTTGGTCATCATCATTACTCAAGACATCTGTTCAGTTCACCTCACACTATACACAGACATGTTTTCAGTGCTTTTTCTTATTTCCATAAATAAACAGCAGAATAGTGTTGGGAGGAAAAAAATCAATTTGTGTTTTGTGTTTTTCTCAGTTGTCACAGGTAGTTGGGGCTTTGAAGAATGAGACTCCACAATCCAGGACTTTCATCCGTGGGGTATTTATTTTTCCTTGTAAAACTACAGACTTTTTTGTGTGAAGGCTTTTTCTGTAACTTCGAGGTTATATTAAATTTGAACTACCTCATCAGTGTGCAATAAAACTTGTGTTTGTCCTGCCTCACAGATTCAGACTGTCACTTTAATCCCCGGTGATGGGATTGGTCCAGAGATCTCCAATGCTGTCATGAAGATATTTGAAGCAGCTAAAGTTAGTACTGAAAAACAGTTTAAAAAAAAGAAAAGCATTAACATGCATATTTATTTTTCAGATTTTATCAGAGAATAATATAATGCTTGAGCACTGATACCACATAAATCATATAACAATAGAAATATGATTAGTATAATTGTAGATAACAAAGGTTCTGGGAAAAAAGAATGAATTGAATGTCCTTTTGATATAGGCACCTATTCGGTGGGAAGAGAGAAATGTTACAGCCATTCGGGGACCTGGTGGAAAGTGGATGATACCTCCAGATGCCAAAGAATCAATGGACAAGAACAAAATTGGCCTGAAAGGTAACCTGATTGATTTATCTATATGGGTTTTTTTTTTGTTTTGTTTTTTTAAGGCAAAGTTAAACAGTAGGACAGTTCTAGGTAATGGTGTGTATATTGGGAATATGTACTAATCTCTTTATTCCAGGAACTTCACTCTCATGTGTTCCCACATCAGCAGCTTGGAAATTAAATTTTATTAGGGGCATTAATTAATTTGGCATGCTTAAGAGAGAAAAACTTCCAAACCAATCACCAGGTTTTTAGATATATTCTTTTGGTTTGACATGAAATATTTTTGAATTCTTTAACAATCTAAAGGCCCTTTGAAGACACCAATAGCTGCTGGCCATCCCTCCATGAACCTGTTGTTGAGGAAAACCTTCGACCTCTATGCTAATGTGCGGCCCTGCGTGTCCATTGAGGGCTACCAGACCCCCTACACTGATGTGAACCTGGTCACAATCAGGGAGAACACCGAGGGAGAATACAGTGGAATTGAACATGTTGTAAGACCTTTATTAACATTACCTTTTGACAAGCTTTCTTGTAATTTCTTTAAACAGTTTTCAGGAATAGTTCTCTAGGCTTCTGGAAGAACATTCAAACCTTTTCTTTGGATGTTGGTTGAGATGATCCTACACTGCTTCAGAAATGTTGCGGTCCAGGCTCTGAAGAGGCCAGTCCATGACCAATAGTGTTCCACTGTTTGTTTTTTCCTACCCAGTATACATTTACTGCATTGGCGGTGTGTTAGAGTAGATTTTTCCCATATCGTATCATTTGCAATCATACCGGTATAAAACTTTTACATCAAATAAAAATGTTATATCATGATATCAATGCTAAAGCAGTGACACTTGCATAACATCCCTGGTGTGGGCATCTGCAAGACACGCTTGGGCACATTAGAGAAAGAGTCAATCTCGGCCTCTGGTTATAATTTACTGCAGAAAAAAACAGAGCTTCTTAAAAAAAAAAAAAACCATTTCTGAAAATTGTTTCCACTAATGTTGGAAGCAACAAACACATTTCAACACTTGAGTACAACTTGAATACAAATGAGGAAAAGGTAAGTTTTGCAAGCCAAAAGTAAACAAATGTCTCAACTGAACATTGCTTGCTAGTTACACTCCATATGATAGAAAGAGAAATGACTGAAATTACCTCTTAATAGGCCACAGTTATGATGCCAGTCCAAACATGGGGAAAAAAGGCCTTAAGCAAGTGGTTAAAAAACTCGAGCCCAGCTACATCACCCCAGGTAGAAAATATTGTTCAGTTTTATTATTTGACAGTATTGTGCAGCTACTCATGAGTTACAAGGTTTAGTTACTGCTACATTAGTTGTTGTTAAACTAAAGGGTTAAGCAGTTATTTATACTTTACATTTCCTGGGAAAACACTCCATGGGTTACTTTTGTGCTCATATTTAACTTGTCTCAGGGTCACAGGTGGGCTGGAGGCCATCCCGGCTGTCATAGGCCAAGATGTGATATGTACTCTGGATGGGTCCCAAGTGTGTCACAGGGCAAACACAAAGAAACAGACAACCATTCGCAATCAAATTCATACCCAAGGGCAATTTAGAATCACCACTTACCCTAACTTCACTAATTTCATGTGTGGGCTCTTTCTGGGTACTCCTGCTTCTTAACAAAGTTTAAAGACAACAAAACACTCCTCTGAAAATGGTCGGGGACAAAGACTGAACATTGGCTGCTTTTTCACACATTTTCAGTCCAAAGATACACTTTGAAAGACCTTCAGAAAACTTAAAGAACTACTGGTCAAGACCACTTTAAACATCTAAAGTAAAATATAAATTACCTAGCAGGGACCACATCTTCATTTAGGTTTGACAGCATTTCTTTAAGATAACAGCAGATGGCATAAGCGTGAATTGAGACTGGGGAAGGCCTCAGAAGGGATTGGCGGTGGGTCTCAGGCCACTAATGAGAGGTGAATTAATTTTGAAACAGGCAGGATAGGGCACGAAAACAATAACAAACAGCTTGCAGTGCAGGAGGTTTATATATGAGGTGTGGTCCCACTCCTGAAATTTGGATAAATTATCTCCAAGTAATGAGGGGTGGCATTTGCACAGCACTGTATTCGTGTTCACTCTTCATTCTTTTTATTTCAGATTGTTGATGGTGTTGTACAGAGTATTAAGCTCATCACCGAACAAGCCAGCAAACGCATTGCAGAGTACGCTTTTGAATATGCAAGAAACAATCAGAGAGCCAGTGTTACAGCTGTTCATAAGGCGAATATCATGTAAGTATATTTTAGCACAAGTTAAGTCATTTGTCATTGTGAAGCTGCTTGAAACTACATTTTTGCTTGTCTTTTTTTCATTTAGGCGCATGTCAGATGGACTTTTCCTACGAAAATGTAGAGAGGCCGCTGAAAAGTACAAAGATGTGAAATTCACTGAGATGTACTTGGATACCGTGTGCCTTAATGTATGTCCCAATAGCTTTGTGGTAAATTAGTCCGAATATGTTTTAGATGGCTATAAAAGAATGCTTTGCTGTATTTTTCTTTTAATTTCCTTATTCATCCAAACTTATAGATGGTGCAGGATCCCACACAGTTTGATGTACTAGTGATGCCAAATTTGTATGGAGATATCTTAAGGTACACAACTGTCACCAGTAAATTTTTTATGTTAAAATACTCATAAGAACAAGACAAATTATGAGTCTTTTCTTTTGCACTTTATCAATCAAAGACGACATTTTTCAACTGTGGCTCACTAGGAAAAAGGGAGGTAACAGAATGAACAGGAGAGTGCTGAGGAGGTGGATCCTGGCTGTTCTAAATGAAGAAAAAAGTGTAATTAAATCCTATGTTTTCATACCAAAAATACAGTAGTAGTAGCACCTCTAAACCTAGCGTCTCTAACAAAAAACTAACACCTAACTGGTCCTTACAGAGGCAGTATGGTAAATGTAGTAAACCCTATTCTTG